GCGCACGAGCACGGGCGTGGATGTGGACATCACGAAAACATCATGACGTCGGAGGTCTGGGGAGGTGGGATGAGCGCTGCATGGGGCTGACCTCACGAGCGGCGAACGCGTCCATATCCATGGCCTCGCGGTCCAGGCTCTGGGGCGCAATCCCGCGGATACATGGTCAAACGGAGACGTTCCGCGCGGGGCATCCGCGAAAAAGGGCCCGGATCAGCGGGGTCGCGGCCCAGGGGCCTGGCTCGCGAATCCGCGGATACGGAAAAGTTTTTCGTCCACGATAGACGCACACGCTGGAGTTGGGATGGGCGCTGCGCAGGGGTTGCCCAGTTGCGTGTCGCAGCGCGCGGCACGCAAGATCGCCATCGGGTTAAGACTTGACACTGCGTACCCTCTGGTCATGTGCTGTGGACCATCAGTTTACCTTTAACCTCGGGAGGACTGTTTGGGGCGACTCCACCGGGGAGCTCACTGGGCTAAACGACCTGCTGGGGAAGTAACTCGGATCTCTGGCTACCACCCGATGGCCCATCCCCAGCCGACCGAAGCCTGCCAAGGCTTGCCAAGAAACTGCCACAAGCCTCCGTGGAACCTGTGTCGAGATGTCAAATGGGTGCGAAATAATCCTGAACCAAAAGATACTGCCACCTCTTGAACCGCCATTTATCACTTCCGACAACATCCGCCAACCTTACGTCGGCTTCCGCCAACGGACACGCCGCTAATTCCGCTGGCCTCCGCCGGTCTTCCACCGAGGAAGTGATCTAATCCCCCCCGACCCCCAGCGTGGGCATTTTGTCTTGACGTGGACCCTCAAATATAAACCCGTTCCCCTGGACTGCTCTCTGTTCTTCCCGGGTCGCTTTTTGAACGGTCCGTGGAACAGGCGAGGGCCCTCAGAGGTTGGAGATTGCGCAAAAACCTCCCGCCGCGATAGTCTCGAGAGGCGTAGGAATCTGTTGGATACTCTCTCTGGGGACCTCCCTGGAGCCACTCGCTCCACTCGTGCGTCGAAGCTACGTCGAACGTCCGTCCAATCGAGTCGACCTTGATTAGAACCGAGTCGAACCTGAATCGAACGTCGGTCGAACTTGAATCGAACTGGGGTCGAACTGGAGTCAGACAGATCCGTGTCCGTGAGGCGGGCCCCCCAAAACGAGCATCGAGGGTCGGGGCCCCGTGGCCCTCGGAGGCGAGGGCCCCTCCCGGAGCGCCCCCTTGGTGGCACCGCGCGGGGCTGCCCGCCCGCGCCACACCAGCGGGCGACCCACCCCGACTAGGATCGTCCCTCCTCCTGCGACCACACCCCCACATGCGAGCAGGCCTCTGCGGACCAACGTCCTCCCCCTCCCTACACCCCCAACCCCTCCCGCTCCTCCTCCTCCTCCTCCTCCTCCTCCTCCTCCTCCTCCTCCTCCTCTTCACATCTTCCTCTTCCTCCTCCTCCTCCTCGTCCTCCTCGTCCTCCTCGTCCTCCTCGTCATCATCATCATCATCAGCAGCAGCAGCAATGTCATCATCAGCATCAGCATCGGAATCGACATCATCATAATCATCATCATCAGCATCATCACCATCAGCATCATCACCATCATCATAATCGCCATCATCATCGTCATCAACAACAGCATCTTAAGCAGCAGCAGCACCAACATCATTATCACCATCATCGTCACCTACATCAGCATCATCGCCATCATTATTGTCATCAGCAACATCGTCGTCAGCATCGTCATCATCATCAACATCGTCATCACCACCACCAGCATCAGCATGATCCGCATGATCGTCAGTATCATCATGATCATCACCATCAACATCATTATCATCAGTATCATGACAATCCGCATCATCATCACCACCACCATCAGCATCAGCATCACCATTATTACCATAAGCGCAGGAAACACCATCAGCATCATCAACAGCAACAGCATCAGCATCAGCATCATCATCATCATCACCATCAGCATCATCACCATTATCGTCATCAACATCAGCATCATCATCGTCATTAGCATCATCATCATCAGCATCATCATCATCATCAGTATCATAATCATCATCACCACCATCACCATCTCCATCACCATCACCATCACCATCATCCCCTTCCTCATCCTTCTCCTTTCTCTCCCCCTCTGCCTCCTCCTCCCCCTCACCCTCCTGCTCCCAATCCCCCCGTCAATGCGGAGGGAGGGGAGGGATGGCTTAGGAAACAACTCCTGGGAAGCATTCGCCAGAGCGTCGGAATGAGAAAGCCCGACTCAGAGGCGATTGGACAAGATGAGGCCAATGCTTAATCCAGACAAGGCGAGATCGAGCGGGACTCGAAACTGAATTCAAACTCCCAGGAGTGCAACTCAAGAGGGGGGAAGGGGGAGAACAGATGCGAGAGGAAAGAAGGAGAGTCGGAGGGCGGGCGTAGACGGGGACAAAATACTATGAATTGCGCCCGCACCTTCGTTGAAATCACGTCCCTACCCAAGAATGAAAGGAAACAGAAGAAGAGATACCTAGATTATCCTGTACCGATCCGTGTTGTCCGATGCACCCTCGACCTAAATACTCCAATACTCGCATTGCGTCTCGAGTTGCCCGTGCGTCAACTCGTGCCTGGTGTGCTAATCCTCTTGGTCGAGAGCATGAATGCGTCTTCTTTGTTAGGGGGGGGGGGCATGCGGCCCTCTGGCTGACCTCTTACGGAGCTATGGCAGCACCCACGACGAAAAGCACAGTAGAAATAATTACTGTTAGCCACTTGCTCAGACCGACCCTCTCTGTGGAGGTTCGTTGACCTGGGATATTTGGAGGCATTGCTGTAACTCGAATGTATTGCGTGCAAACTCTCTCCGAAAGAAGAACCGCCATGACTCCTGCTCTGCCGGCTCAATGACATGAGCACCAGAACTGCCAATCAACTGGCGCTTCAAACACTACGCTGACACACGGGCTGCCCGACCCCTGCTGCACGCAGAAGGGAAGCACCTTGGTCTTTTCGATGGTGGCGGCATGGACGTATGCTCGTCAGCCGGCCTGTCTCTGCAGCTGCTGCACACAACGGTCGATGCAAACACTGAGTCAAGCTGCGATGATCAGCTAGCAAAATCACAATTCGCGCAACAATGACCAGCCACTGACAGCTCATACCTGCGGCAGAACACAAGGTATATCCATCAACATAACAGCCCAGACATTGCGTATCTGTTCTATGAGTCGATGGTGCCGATAAAATTCATTTGAACAGCAACGCAACTAAATCAACGGATTTAACAAATGCACTCACTATGAACAGTGGCAATCAATACACCTGAACCCACTCGCCCCGGCACTCGCGACTGCCCTCCCCAACACACTTGTTCGATGAACTCGGGATGTCAGCTACCCGATACGTGTATGCTCTCACGCATGGGTTTCCCGAACTGGTGCGCAATTCCAGCTGCGACAGATAACCATAAATAAACTCTAGATGGCACATTGCCATTGAAGCCTGCTTTGCATGCACCTGCGCACACAATACGACCGCACATACTAGCAACGGCGATTATTTCCAAATCAGACCTTGCCTCTGTAGGGGTCCTATCGGTTTCAAATGGTTAGGTTTTTTGTTTTTGTTTGTCTCTCTTCGAAATTGCGTCATGTCAAACTGCTTACTGGCCAGAGAATATTCGAGCCGGCGTCGCCGAGGCGCCGTCCGGACCATCTCTGTCTCCCCGTCTACCCAAAGCCCGCCCCGCAGATCAAGGCGTGGTCGCCTGCTTCGCTCCCTAGTCCCCGATCGGGTTGATCTGCTTGGCGATGGCCGTGGGGCACTGGAACTTCAGGTGGAGCTGGCGGGCCTTGTCGTCCGAGAAGGCCTGCCTGCAGTGCGGGCACTTGAACTGGCCATCCAGCTTGATCCCAACGTTCTCGAGCGTGCCGTTGCCCGACACCGCCTCCTTGCTGATCTCCAGCGTCTCCGGCATTGCTGTTGCGGCGCGGATGCCAAGCTGAGCGCGCTTAACTTATTCCTTCACACCTCTTGAGCTTGAGCCAAAACTTGAGCCAAAATGGCTACGGACGGTTTCAAATGGTTAGGTGAGGTTTACCATAAATTTCCGCGGCCCACCTGGGTCCCCGGGTGCCCGAGTGCCCGGGTGCCGGGGTGCCGTATAGCCCTATAGCCTTATAGCCCTATGGCTCTATAGCCCTATAGCCGTATAGCCCTATAGCCCTATAGCCTATAGCCTTATAGCCCTATAGCCCAATAACCCCATAGCCCTATAGCCCTACAGCCTTACAGCCCTGTAGCCCTATAGCCTTCTAGCCTTACAGCCCTACACCCCTATAGCCCTATAGCCCTTTGGCCCTATAGCCCTATAGCCCCATAGCCTTATAGCACTATAGCCCTATAGCCCTATAGTCCTATTGACCTATAGCCCGACAGCATTGTAGTTATAGCCCTATAGCCCCATAGCCCTGTAGCTCAATGTGCCTGTAGCCCTATAACCTTGTAGCCATATAGCCTTATAGCCCTTTGGTCATATGGCCCTATAGCCCCATAGCCCTATAGACCTATAGCCCTATGGCCCTATAGCCCTATAGCCCCAGAGCCACATAGCCCCATAGCCCTATAGCTCTACAGCCCTACAGCCCTATGGCCCTCTAGCCCTATAGACCTATAGCCCTCTGGCCTTACAGCCATATAGCCCCATAACTATATAGCCCTAACAAGATGTTGATTGGGCTTTTCCCCGGTGTCATGCATTTGCAAGGGTGCGGGCTCAGAACGAAGAGACACTGTGCATGTACAGATATGTTAGTAATGCATAGATCCATATATGTACACATGCGTATACCTCTATATATACATGTATATATGCATACACATATATATATATATACATACACGCATGTGTGCGTGTGTCCGCAACTGTGCCCCCTGGCACGTTGGGCGTGCTAGAATGTCAGGTGCTCCATGGTAGGATTTCTGTCGGTGTTTCAGCCCCCCCCTCCGCGGG